AGTATTTATAAAAGTGTAAAATTTTACATTTTACATTTTGTGTAAAATTTTATAAGTGTAAAATTTTATATTTTGGAAAACGTTTATAACTCGGTGAAAAAAATCGCACAGTAAAAAATAAAAATTCGTTTTAAAGGTGAAAAATAGCACTTTAAAGTGGTGTCAATGAAATTAGAAATAAAATTTTCTTTGGCCATAAAAAATTGGGAAATATGGCAAAAAATGCAGTTTTTTACTCATATTACTGGATTTATCTCAAAAACCTGATGGACATTTTTTGCTGGCAGATTTGGATTCAGTGACCTCGAATTTACTAAAAAAAATAGTAGCTGCGATCAGCGCAGCAAAAAAAAGTCAAATTTTGTCGGACAGTGTTATCAACAAAGAAGCAGCTTTTATTTCACTGAAGTTCTCTCTCCCATATTGAAATCACGATGCTTGGCGCTCACTCTCTTGTCATCGTACTTGGGATCTCGACGATGCAATAAAGAGGAAGTAACAAAGTTTGGCAGTTCGCAAAAATGAATTAGCGCTGCACCCAGGCGTGCGTTGCACCATACGACCCTCGCAAACTTCTGATCTTCGAAGTGGGTGGACGAGTTGCTTGCGCGACCGTAATAACCAGCTCTCTTCCGTACTTTCGCAATTTTCGGCGAAAGGGACGGGACTCGCGTACCGCACGCGTGCTCGCGCGACCGTGCCGAGCATTCGCGTCGTGAGTATAGGTCAGTTATGCAACGGTGAAGCCGTGGCCATCGAGCGTCCACCCCCTCTCGCGTTCGTCGTCTCTCAGCCGGAGCGTCTCGTTATCGGCGATCTTTTCTGTCTCTCAGCGAGTCACGTGCATTTTTTCTGTTTTTGTTTTAATTAAGCACCGCTCATAAAGAGATGCGAGTATCTGCACGCTACTTCTTTCATAAAAACAATACAATAACTTTACAAGTAAAATGTAAAGTCCCAAAGCATTAAGAATGTTTAATATAATATTCAAGTCTTGGTATACGATAGATAACGATTTGTTACGTCTTCTAAAACCTTGGGTATGTATAAAAAAAATACGTGTCTCTTGATTATTTATATTTGATAACATCTTTTAAGGAGAAACAAATTGACGTTGGACAGCTGTGTTTTCTTTTTATATAAATTATTTTATATAAATTATTTATAACCGAATTACTTCGATCGCCTATCTTATTCCTCAATGCACGCACATACGCCAAAATGTAATTAGTATTTTCTTTGTATTATATTATATCACATTATAATCAAATAATTATATCACATGAAAAGGACAACTTTAATTGGTGTTTTCTTTGTATTATATCACGTCACACATTATAATCAAATAATTAAACAACTTTTGGATTAATGTGACATGTTTGATTAAACAAGATTTAGTTGAACTAAACAGAATTTTTGGTTATTATAATGAAATATTCTAGCCAACCAAAACAATTCAGGTTTAACCTAGGTTAAGAGTTTGGTTACTGCTAACTCAGTGTTTATAACATCCAAATGTCTGCTTATTATGACTAAAAAGTTGGATGGATTAACGTGACATGTTTGGTCAATAACTGTTGATTGAACTAAACAGAATTTCTGGTTATTATAATCACGTATTCCGGTATTCTATGCTGATTATAATACAGATGGACAATATATAATGGATTTATCAATTAGTAAAGTGGTGTCATGCATAGACACACACAAAGACAACTCACAATCCGGAGATTTGGATTCGAAATCTATTAGAATAAAAAACGAGTTTTCTAAGTACAACATAACATCAAGTCAATTAAATTTCAAGCAAAAGAATCATACAGTAACCTTAAAGAACAACTTAATAAAACTTTTAGTAAGAAATATGAATATTTAGTTTAACTCGTTTAAAGTAACCAGATAAGTTTGGTTATTTTAACCAAATGCTTATAACTAGACTTCCCTGGTTATCTTAACCAAAAATATAATTCGTTCATATTTGACCAAACAGCCTGGTTAAAATATTTCGAATTTAATCAAGTTTTTCTTTCCGTGCGTGCGCGTGTATGTATTATTTATCTTATTTTTTATATTGGTCATTATTGTTTTTTCCATCGTAAGATCAGCGATCGAGCAAAGGTAAAATTATCACGTTTAATTAAATCCTTTGACTCTTTAAATAATACAATCAGGAAAATTCCGTGATAAAATATTAAATTCTTAATTTACTTAAATTGCTGTATTTTTTTAACTCATAGCGAATATAAGTCAGATATATTTTTTATTCCATTTCCATATTTTTTATTCCATTTTTTCTCCATTTTTAGCAATAATAGTGAAAAAAAATCTAGATGCTCGCTCTCTCTCTCTCTCTCTCTCTCTCTCTCTCTCTCTCTCTTTTAAAAGAAAAATATAGACGACTCACAATCCGGCTGGGCTCGAATCCCATCAAGATAAAATACGAGTTCTCCAAATATAATATCAAATGAATTAAGTTTCAAGCAAAAAAATCATACACTAATACTTTAAAGAACAACTTTCAGCTAAAAAAAGTAATAAAACATCTTATAAAAAATGTGAATGTTTTTGTTTAGTTGGATTAAAGTAACCAGATAAGTTTGGTTACTTTAACCAAATAGTTACCTTAACCAAAAATGTGGTTCGTTCATATCTCACCAAACAGTCTGGCCAATGTACCCTGAATTTTGATCAATTCAACAAAGTTCTTCTTTCCGTGCATCGTCGTAAATCTTGAACGATAATTATAATGCACAACGCACGAACGCATTGGAATGCGCATTCGGTCAAATTTACGACGAACTACTCGGAATTCGGGTTAGGTTCGCGAGGATGAGTCAATAAACGGTGACGCGGCTTCCTCCCGCTCGTCGCACCGTCGCCCGACTAACTAACTAACGCTGTTGATTTCGCTCGACGTTGCGTAAACGTTGCGCGCTATCGTAACGTGGAAAGGTCAGTGTCTCTTTCTCCCGGCGTGACGCGATCGTCGGTTCGTTCGTTCGTTGGCTTGTTCGCTCGTTCGCGACGCGACGCGACGCCCAAAATATCCGCGCGCGCGCGCGGCCGGAAAGATTCGAGCGAGGAGGAAGAGATCGATCGAACGACGACGGCCGGCCTTATCCGGAACGCGCGAACAACGGCGCTCGTTTCTCTCCGCTATTTTTTCCCCTTCCTTCTTTTCGGCCACTTTATGGCTGCGGGATAATTTACGAGCCCTGATACGCGGTGAAATGCGCGAGAGAGCGCGTTGTTTTTGCGCGCGATGAAACCGCCGGTTTGTGAATGAGCAGGAGCGAATGCGACGACGGCGTGCTGAGGTACTTTTTAGCGCGTTTTTTCCAGGTACCATAGCGACGCGGAAGGTTGCGAGATAAAGCAGTTCGCAATAAGTCCGTGTTTGTTATATGTGTGTGTGTGTGTATTTTGTTACGTGGCGCTCTTATCCGCGTGTTTTCATTCACATTTCAACCGGTTAAGCGGTGACCGACCTGTCGATCCTAACCGTCGATATATTTATAGTTGAACTGTACATCGAACAAAGGTGTATCCGATGTAGCGCGTTTACGTTGACCGAGATAATTGTTTAACCTTTTATAAGTGTGTGGTCGATATTTTAACCACTTCACGTAAGATTCAAAATGTCAAAAGGTTCAAAATTTATTGTTTTACATTGAACATTCGACCGTAAAATAGAACAAGAGAAGTGATGAGAATATTCTCTGTTTGAGAAGATCTGACAAATAAACCTCGTGAAACTTCAAACGCCGATTTGTTTCAAATTTTTCACGTCGAAATACTGAAATATTCTTTATAAGTTTGTGGTCGATATTTTAACCATCAAGTAGGAATTGTATACGTTTCGTACGGAAAAATGGTCGATACTGGGTCGATACTGAAAAGCGGATGTCCGGTTTTGGTACTGGCTCAATACTGAGCCTAATATAAAAAATCTGTATTATTGGTAGTGGCTCCGTAAGGTTAGGTACTGGATAATCGTACCGTACGTGTACTGGGGCGTTACCGAAAAGTGTTTGTCGTTTTCGATACTGGTCCAGTATTAAAAAAGCTATATTATTGGTACTGACCCTGTTCGTAGAATCAGTACTGGATACTCAAGTAAGAATCGTATACAATCTGCCAATAGAGGATATTGGGCCAATATTGTGTCGGTACCAAAAAATGGACGATACCAATGTCCTGTATGGGAAAATAGAAGAGATCATTAACGTGAAACCTAGATAACTCAGTAGTAAGAACACTTGCCTGACAAGCGGAAGACTGGAGTTCGATTCCAGCCGTTGCCCCGAAGATCTTTTCCTCATATGATTATTAAAAATAGACCTGTATAGGTATAAACGAGGAGAGCAGCCCCGGCCATGGTTCTGATCTTTCTTTCCGTATTATATAATTATATAATTGTGATATCAACAATTGTACAAATAATAAAAATTACTAGGAATTGATACTGACCCAGTACTGGGAATAAATACTTCCTCAGTGCTAAGAATCAATACTTTTTTTATACTGTTTTTTTTGTACAGTACTGATTTTCGGTACTGTGATAGTACTATCATCCCAATATCACCAATACTAAACCCGCATCTGGTACTGTGCCAGTAACGTTTACTATAAATCGGTCAAAGTGGCCAATACTAGGCCACTTTGATGCCAGTAGTAAATTCCTACTTGGGATCTTATGTAAAGTTCAAAATATTTACTGGTTTACACTGAACGTTTGACAACATGTAGAGTAATTTACCGGATCGGACTATGATTTGAGATGATATATAATAGAAAACAGATCTATACATAATTATACAAGTACTTGCCATAAAAAATGCTGCTCAAAAAATGAAAGTATAATATTTACTTATAGTAATTTATAACTATTTATATCTTACTTACATAGTAACTTATATCTACTTATGTAACATACATTTTTATAATTTTTTTTACATGAGTGTAAATATATCAAATTGATACAAATAAACAATTTTTTATACAAGTTTAAATTTTTTTTTACAAATATTTTAATAAAAAAGTAAATTTTCATAAATGATTAAAATATTGATCGCAAAACCTGAATAACTGAACACTTCCCCTAAATGAGTTAATTTTTGGCCAAGCAATAATCATAATAATAATAAATATTATAAGGTTTCTTATATTTCACACATTTGTCACATGTATCTAAGTATATTATATAAACTTGTAATAGAGTCACCACCTTTAAAAAAAAGGCCTATGAAGGGTTAAGACAGAGCTCGGCATGCATTGCTCAGAAACATATGATTTGTAAACATATATTTCCAATAACTTACTATTAGAAACAAATGCTTTGAAGTAAACGGAATAGGCGGAGCAAGTCGAAAATTGACCTAAATGTGTAACACGTGCCGAACTTCGGTTTAAGAAGATGCTGAAGTAGAATTTGAAAAACTCAAGACGCAGAGACGATCGTCACTAACACTAATCACGCTATTCTTTTCATATCGTATATAACTTACGTAAATGTGTGTTGCTTTTTTACCATATTTTACCATAGCAAAACCTAACCACGCATTTGTAGAAATCTTTCTGCAAACTTTTCGGATACTTTTAAGCTTCTGAATTCAGATACGAAGGTACAGCAATGTTCTTCAAAATGATACTTTGAAAGTATCGGTTTACATAGTAAACTGCTTCAACCACCGAATCCTGTTCCTGTCCATTTGCCACGTGGTATTTCTATAACTAATGAAAATGCATTAGACAATTGAATGGCTGTCTGCACAGGCTTGCTACACTTCTATCAAGGGTAGTGTGATCGTGGTAGTACTTATCTGATATGACGTTTTGACGATTGTCTCTACGTTATCGGCATTTTCGAAGTTTGTCATTCACTTTGGCATCCCATTAAGGAATGCTAGAATCAGCATCGAGCGACGATCGCAGCGTCGTCTCTTGTTTTAATCCCAGCGACACCAAAGCGGAGAAGTGGAACGACAAATATTAATTATTCGTGATAAGATAAAACATTCGATATCAGTGGGTGCGCAGACACAAAGCAGAAATTCGAATATACCACTCGTCAGCTTTGGATGAACGAGAAACGATGACCTCTTCTCCCAGCGAGAGTTCACCACCCCTGAGCCCCAAATCGCCCACGATGAATTCGACTACCCAATTTCCCGAGCCATCCACGTTTCGTTTTTCGCCCGCGCCTCGTGTTTCCCGATTCGCTTGCAAATTACCGAAACGGGCTCGGTCGATCAGTTGGTTGTTTGGTTGGCTGGCAACCTCGGTACTGGAGGCCGTGGAACCCGAAACGACGACGGGACCAGGCCAATTGGCAATGTCTGGGCCTGTAATTAGGTTTGCGTTGGTGGTAACGTCATTACCTGGTAAGCTTGCAATTTCCTTGTGGCCGCCGTTCGCCGTCGTCGTCGTCGTCGTCATCATCATCATCATCCTCGTCTCTAACCGGTTCCCTTCGTGGCGCTTCGCGATCGCACCGGGGAAGCTCGCTTTTCTAGCCGATCGAGTGAGGGAGCAGCCGAGCGAGCGAGTAACTCGTCGCTTCGTTCGTAAGCGTAAGAAAAAGGTGTGCGAGAGCGGAGCGTAGCGAGGGGAGACAGGACGGGATGGGAGCCGTAGTTATTCGGATAAATTGTACCACCGTTTTGTAATGGGGCATTAAAGGCGACGTACGCGGAATTTCTCCCGACATAATGGCCGCATTTAAGCGCGCGGCCGGCCACTTCGCGGGGAGAAACCTGTAACCTTACATTGTGTACGCCGAGTGTACCATCGCCGTAGGTGGTGGTATCGCGTCAGGCACATTTTTGCCGTATTATGGAATCGCGCGTAACATAAGGACGTCTCGCCGCGCTAGTAGGCGGTGATCGAAGGTATATTCGATTTGCCTCGCGGTAAATGTACGACGTAGCAGATTATACGGTAGACACAGAACATCTGCTTATTGATATTTTAAGTTATGGAAAGCGTATCGCCGTGGATCGCCGTATATCAATCTACTGCGCTCTAAACTTGTCCGCAAGATTTGGAACGCCTTGCCTCCTCTTGCGCATATCTTGCATAGAATTATCATTTTTAATCCTTAAACGACAAAATTGGGTTATCGATTATCTCCATCAGGTATATTTTATTTGACTCTGACAGTTAAAACTTCAGCATTTTTAAATAATATCTTCGCTTTCAGTCGTACACACGATTGGTTAGTCCCGTTCAGCACCTGCAATTTTTCTAAATTTGAAATTTTTATTTTATTTTCTCATTTTATATCAGAAGATTTTCAATTCTAGTTTTAGTTATTTTTACGTTTTATGTTTAGACAAATTTTACTTGAACTGTTTGTTTCTTATATTTTTTCCAAATTTAAAACTTTTCAAATTTCATTAAAATAAGTGTTTAGTAATATAAACATTTTTTCAGTTCCATTGAAACTTTGTAATATTCATGCTAAAGTCAGGTACTACTTTGAAAATATTTTGTTTTGTTAAGTTGCTATTTATTTTTCCTAATACAAATTTTAATATGCAGAGAAAAAGAGTGAACTAAAAAAATATTGGAGTCATATATAACTCCACTTTGTTAATCATATCTTATAATTTTACTTTATCGTTAAAGGTTAACATTTCTTTTTTCATTAAAAATTCTTGAGTATACATATGATGTTTTTGTCTTAACAAAAATTTCGTAATATCTGCCATTTTTGTTGCGAGTTGGAACTAATGAGAGGATGATCAACAAAATATTTTATAATTTGATCAGTAAACTTCCTCTGTCTATTCGACAGTATTACGTTATTAGAAAAGTTCTTAAAAATAATAGCATTTTTGTAAGTAAATTTAAGAATTTGATATTAAAATTAATAATAGTGAAGATTTTCATAACATTAGGATTATTAGTTATAAATTAGTTATAATATTTCATATTTCTTATGAAATGTAATATTTTTTATCTTGTATATTTCATATTTTCTTATTAAATTCCGTATTAAATTATGAAACATTATAACACGTTATGATATGTTAAAATAATTTTTCTAATATATCATAAATACGAGACTGTTTTGGTCACGTGGCCTGAAAGATTCAGCTTGCAAAGCATTCGTGGCCTTTATCGAGATTTCAACAGAGTTATCCAGAAGTCTCTTTATCGGTTCTCCTTGATGCTATCACAGAAGTTGTGCATCGTTATATTGTGATTGTGATCGCTGATTATGATTTTTCATGACTATATGTTATTAAATATAATATTTATTTTACTATTACTTTTTATAACATAGTTATGTGAAAAAACTTCACATCCCAGTTATTAAATTTAATACGAAGTTTTCTAACAGTGTAGCCTCTAAAAGACAAATTCTAGAGACGAGCATTCGCTCTCTTCCCCTCCAGCACCTAAAGATTTAGATATTAGATAGAAAATGTATATGTATGATTAAACAATATATTATATTTAATTTTTTATAAAAAGATAGGGTTATTATCTTAATATTTTAAAACAAATAGCGGAATATTATAATAGATTAATGAATCTATATAACCTTAAAATCTGCGTTAGATTCGTCCACTTTTCTACTGCCACTACTACCACTTAATAAACTCTTTCACGCCTACATAGATGCTATTACCATATCTTTTTCTGTGAGAGTGTAGTGAAAACCGAGCACTCTGTAATGAAACAGTATTTCATACAACATGAATAATACAATAAAACAAATCGAATGGAAATGCGAACCGTTGAAGCTGCGTGAAAAATATCAGAGTTCAAATCTTGCGGATGCGCTTCCTTCCTTTTCCAGCGCGATTACCCTGATTGAAACGATCGTCTGTCTAAACGTCTGTTTCTTCGCGTTACAGTGGCGTCGCGGTCTCATGCGGGGAATGCAGCAGCAGCGGCACCAGCGACATTACGGAACCGGGTTCCCCGTGCAGCACCAGCAGCGACGAAGGGGTAGCGATACGTGGCACATCCGCCAGTCCACTGCCGTCCCTGCCCAAGCTGGCGGCGTCGTCACAGGTCGGTACCAGGCCCCAGTGGCCCTGGACCCCGCCGTTGGCGGCGACCGCCTGCTCCACGTACAAGAGGCTGAGGGGCGAGCCGGAGGCTGGCGCGCTCGCCCGTTCCGGCGCCGCCGCCGACCCCACGTCCAGGGGGGCCGCCAAGGGAAACGGGAAGGCCGTCGGTGGCCAGCATCATCACGAGTCGCAGGGCAAAATCACGGAGTACTTTAAGACACAGATCAAGCCGCAGCAGCCGAAGGTTAGTATTCGTCCAGGACAAAGCCTGAAATAATGAAAGTGAAAGAACGCATGAGGGAATAAATGTACGAGCAGAAAATAAATAGCGAATCGCGGTTTAATCGCGGGAAGATCAGGAATGTGCGTGCAAAGTCAAATAATTGCTTGGCACTTAACAACGTTTAATTGACGGTTCCGTGGAAGTCGAGCAAAATAGAGCAAAATATCATTGGCGAAAGAAAGCGCTTCCTCGATTGAAACCACGGCCGTGGCGGAAGTGCTGAAAGATATCGACCCGCTTTACTTCGCGCGGACACTTCAGATACAGACCCGCCTTATCGGTGAGCACGCATTTATCGGATATTGAATTAACCTTTTTTCTTGTTTTTATTTTCACGACCGCTTGTAGAGCGGTTTTCCTATAGATTAATTCGCGGAACCTGCTCGTCCTATCGATCGACAATTTAACATGGCACGTTCTCGCTGATTCGCGTTCACACCCGTGCGTTTTCAGCGCTGAGCGCATCTGCTCCGCTTATACGTATCGAATAATACGAGAGTGGAATTAAGCGGTGTAGAGAAAGAGAGATCATTATTTACACGGCAAACACAAGAAGCAGCAGGTAGACCGAGAGGTAGACCGAGTGGTGGGTTACTCGCTCTTATCGTCTTCGCTACATTTTGCTGAAGAAGAGGTAACTTACCGCTCGATTGCCTCCGCGCTGATTCGCGTATCAAGACGGCGCGTCCTAGCTTAGCAAGATAAACAGTGTTTCTAAGGTATCGCTGTCACGATCACGTCTTTCCGTTGACAGATCAAGAAAACGAGCGAGACGATGTCGGTGTTGGTAGCCAAGAGCTCCTCGGAATTCCGAAGACCGCCGGTGGTGCAGAGGAACAAGGGCGGTCTCGCGAAATACTTGGGCACCGTGTCGGCCAATACTCGCGGGACCCCGACCAACGATTGGGAAGCGCGAGCGCTAACAACGACGCCGCCGGCCACGAAGAAGCCGCCGCTGGTCATCGTGCCAAGGATCAACGGCAAGCTGGACAAGAAGCTGCCGAAGCCGCTGCCAAGTCTGCCAATCTCGAACGACGTACTGAAAAATCTGCCGAGCTGCAAGATCTCATCACTTAGGTACAACCACTCAGTCGCATGTAATGCTCAGCTCCTATTCGTGATAGCGCTGATTAGCCAGTTGTTCGCTATTAGGTGCATATGCGAATATCGATAGAAGTTTGGGTCGCTCGGTCCTTTTCTGATTTTTGTCTGTTTGGCGAACGAACATTGTCGCTTAAGAGCTGTGAGTCATTTGAAAATACCAATTTGAGTGAAATTCAAGCAGTGTAAGATAATGAGACAATAAAAGCCAGATATGCTATAATAGAAAAATTCAACAGAAATAATGTTTATAGTAAAGTAGAAAAAATAAATAAAATAAAAAAATGGAAACAGGTAAGGAAAAAGGAATATTAATTATAATTTAATGATTAATATTAGACTGTGTACAAAGAAAAAAGGCAATGTAGATTTCAGGATCTCCAGGAAGAATGAGGTCTTCATGACGCATATTCTCCCGTTAATTTCAATTACTCCTGAACATCCACAATTCTGGTTTTAATTTCCCTGTCATCTTACGTGACTTGTATACAGGGTGTCCCAGATCATCTTCACAATCTCTCGTGAGGTCGTAGAGGGGATTCAGATGAACACAAAAGTTCTATATCGTTTTGCGATATTCGCAATAATAGTCGAGAAATTAATTGTGAAAGATTAAAGAAAGACGCGCGCTGAATGGTCGGAGAAAGAACGCTCGAGCCGCAGCGCGAATCCAGTAATATAGTCAAAACATTGGGGGAATAAGAGCCTATAAAGAACCACTAACGATGTAGTAGTTATATAACTAACTATATAAAAAAGACAGCTAGTATCTATCCTTACTTATGTAGAAGTAAAAAAATGTTTTTTTTTTTTTTTTATTCAAATAATCTAACCTAACTACTTTGCTGGGTGAATATCATTTATCGCTTTTAAATTTTGGATACTTTTTACTTTTAATACTTATTTCTGTTTGTGTTTCTTTATGTTTAAGAATTTTATAATTGCTGTTCTTGACTTTCGTTATATTGTATACAAATACTTGTGCTTTTTGGTAAAGCCTCGCATTTCATTGTTACGCATTATCTTTGTCTAGACTGACTGGCTATAATCATATTGATATATTTCATCTAAATCTAATTGCTTAGCCGTTGCATATATCAAGGTAATATTTATTTGACATAACCTTTTTAATATATAATTCTCCACTATTATTTTTAACGTCGGCCTTCTCACTTTTTGTTATTGCAAATTATTGGACATATAGTTTTTTATTTTTTAACCCTCACTTGCTGCATCCTCTGAAACGTAGCGATTCGACGTAACTTTTTAAGATTTAACTAATTCTGTTTGCGACGGTTAAACATTATTTAATTATTTTTTTACATCTTTTTTCATGTATGGCGTTTGATGCGATTCGCTTTAGATTTAATTGTTGACTTGCGTTACTACCATTGTTCATCAGACGACTGTTTTTCTTTGTATACGTAATTGATTTTTTCTCACATTGTAAACAGTGTTAATACTGAGGAGGGTCTACTCCGAAACGCGTTTGATTATTTAAATAAGAAAACATTTTTTTACTTTTACATAAGTGAGGATAGATACTAGCTGTTTTTTTTATATAGTTAGTTATATAACACCACTACATCCATGTTAGTTACTTATTTCCTCATGTTTTTGATTTTATCAATAAAAACCATAAAATAAAAATTCTTTCAGTAATATAGCACACAGATGTCGGTGCGCGGTGATTGGAACAACGCACCTCAACCATTCAGCGTGTGTTTTTCCTGAATTTTTTACAATTAATTTCTGAGTTATTATTGAGAATATCGCAAAACGGTATGGGACTTTTGTGCTCATCTCAATCCGTTCTACGTCCTCACGAGAGATTGTGAAGTGATCTGGGACACCCTGTATATTTTAAAATAGTTCGTCCGTAAACTTATTTTCTTAGGAATCTTATAAAGAAATCTTATTATTTGATATATATTAATGTAAACACGATCCACACACACACACACACATATATATCCATATGTGCAATTAGAAAAAGATTGAAATAATGGAAGTCAAAGTTAGCATTTTTTACATATATCGCAGATACAAAAACGACTTCCGATAGCGCGTTTCTAATTATAGTAATCAAGTTACTCTTATGGTTTTAATGAAAAATAACAAAATGATAAAAGACTTGTAAAAATATCATTACAAAAGACCTTTGGCCATCTAGTTTTGGAAAAAATTAAGTAAGTATACAAAAAAGAAAGTATACAAAAGTATACAATTTCTGAGAGCGACTGATGTATATGACAGCTAACTTATGGAGATCTGATAATATACGAAGGTAGTCAAATGGGCAGTTTACATCGCCTACTCTACAGAGTATCTCAAACTCTCCTCCGTAATTTTTGTGGGAACGTAAATAAACCTCGAAAATATTAATTAAAGAAGATTGATAAATGATCACGCGCGATATGGTAGATAATCTGTAGCATAGACTTTTACATATTCATTAAAGAAGATTTATGCATTACCGCGTACAATTATGTAACAATTTTCTTTCATTAATAACTAAAAATTTACGTGGTTATTTGCAAAATAATAAAAAGCTCTTTTGTACAGTTTGATCTAATTTGACAAGCACACAACAGCGCATATCACTGCAACTCATCTATCATATCGCGCGTAATCATTCACCAATCTTTTTTAATTAATATCTCGATTATTATTGCGAAAACCACAAGATGGTATAGGACTTTTATGTTCATCTCAATCCGTTCTCACAAAAATTATGAAGGAGAGTCTGGGACACCTTGTATAATACTCTGACAGATGCGACGTTGTCATATAACGTGGACAGTTTCAGATAAATCTATATAATATAATAATCATTAATTTTTTAATAGTATTGTCGCGGACGAACTAACTTAGATTAAGGCCAATTTGCAGTGAGTGCCGATTAATCGTTGATATCTGATTTATCTCGGGAATAACCACTTTAAAATTCTAGGAAAATTGATTCCATTTGTCTTAAAAGGAAATAGTTATCCAAGTTTTTCCTATCGATGTGTATGTAATACGGATCTCTCGTCAAATAATTTAACATTGTACGTTCTTCATTCTTCGGGTTTAGTTAAAAGTGGAAGTGGAAGTGGAAGTGGAAGTGGAAGTGGAAGTGGAACGTGGTAAGTAAGGACTGTTTCCACTTAATTACTTATTCTGTTTTGATTTTCTGTACAGGTTACCCTCAGATACAAGTCTCAGCACAGCTAAATGCAGCTCTCCGTCTTCTACTGCCGCACCGTCGCTATTAGGGGAATCGGTGTCGTTGGACTTCAAGGGTTGCATCTTGTCGAAACCCCACGTGAACGAGAACAACAATTTGACGAGCGCCTGCGGAGGGATCCTGGGCGCGCTGAGACCTCAGAGCAGCCATGATCCCATGTCGAGGCTCTCGCCGTCAAAGGACAGCAAGGACGAGATAAGCCAAGAAGCACCGGTCGATGAGGACGACGTGGACGAGGAGGAGGAGGATTCGAGGAGCAGCGCGTCGAAACCATTGCTGTCGCCCATTCTTTCAGCGCCTACCACCATCCGGTTTCCGGCGCGAGTGCCCGAGAAAGACCGATCGCGATCCACGGATAGCGGAAACTGCCGTTGGGACAAGTGCGAAGTCAGATTCGAATCTGTTAGCGGTCTCTTGGAACATTTACAGGTACATAAATAGACAGTTTCACTCGTTACGTATACTCGAGAGTATAACGAAACGGTTTGAACACGTTTTTCCTCAATCAAGTTGCAGCACGAGTTGTCATGATTGCGAGCATTTGCTGACGGATTGGTCAGTAATTGGTCAATAACAAGAGACGATCACTGCGCCAATCCGTCAACAAATGCTCGCAATCATGACAACTCGGAATGTTGCAACTTCCTTAGAAAAAAGTGTTCAAACGAAGCCCTCGAGTGTACACTCGTTAACAAGACGATTTGAACATTCCTTCTTTAACGTCTTGCGAAACATCCAACGTCCAATGAGAGAATCTATTTCATAAAAAATCTAAAATTACTTAAAAATAGATTCTTCTATTGATAGAGATTCTTCTATAGCTGCGTTGAGCAAAGAAAGCTGCTTTGTAACTGCGTTATAAAGTTCGTGAATCTGATATATACTCTTAAATTCAGCCAAAATTAAAATTTATCCTCTATAGCTCTACTAAGCTATACTTTAAGTGCGCACTTAAAATGAAGTAGATATGTATTTAACATTTATGCTCAGTTGTACCAATCGAGTAATAAGCTAACATTTAAAACATGTGTTTGGTTTTATTTATTTTGAAGAAAAAACAAAGATAAGTATATGATTTAACTTCCACACAACACAACGTCTAAAATCTGAAAGACGTCTTAAAAGTTCTCTTATGGGCCTTCTACAATAAGCCATTAGTTATAAGCCGCAAGCAAATTGACCAACCACAGATCGATTATTTTTCTAAAAATCAACCATGGTTGGTGAATTTCTTACGGTTTACGTCTTAAAACAAGATTGTAGACAAAGGCTAATACATCTTAGATTTTAGACATTGTGTTGTTAGTTAATTTACCACTTGATTGGTGCAACTGGATCGTAGTGGAAAAGAAAAAGAAATAAAAAACACAAAATAATTTAAAAAACGCAGTTATAAGAATTATTTTTCTTATTTTTTAAGCTAAATTTTATTAGTTTTTCTAGTCGTCTTTAGATCCTTCACACACAAATTGACATAACAGTAATGTGAAACGTACTATAAGAATTAACCAATCATGTTCAATATCGTCAGACCGTAAGGTCGCAATTTTTGTGAATATTCGATTGTAATTGATCAATTTTTACGGTACGTCTTGACGTTATTGTTACGTCAATGTATGTGTGAAGACTTTAAGGTTTGTCCTTTTCTGCGAAGTAATCTATACTTGTGGAATTTAAAAAGAAACAGTTATACAGTTGAAACTTGAAAGAAAAAAAATGGACAAAGAATTCTCTGCACTAACATACAGTTTCATTGGTTACAGAACAATTGAAGATGAACCTAAAACTATCTTAAGTACAAGAAAAAACTAAGGGCACGATCCATTAGACACTGCCAACGTTTACACTTAAAGAGGAGCCATGATTGGTTTATATAGCTTCAAAGTATTTGTAGCGTCTAATGGATCACACTCTATGACTATGATGCTGTCCTTAAGTCTTGATTTACAATAGCTAGTAAGCTTTAAGCTTTAAGAAACTTATCAATCATAGTCGAATTATAGAAGAATAATCAATCATGATTAGACAATTTCTTCCGACTTACTACACCTATTGTAGATCGAGACCATGGACATAGTATACATGGACTCTGGATGCCCTATGTTCTGTCGTCTAATAGAGTGAAGCCACATCTAGAAAGAGAGCTGCAAAGAGAGTTAGAATAGAGGGGCTATAGTTTTCTTTCTATTTTGTCACTTTTTTGTTGCGTGTGCATCCATTTCTCGTTTCCATAATATTATAAAGCACAACAGCACCCCGACTAGACTGACAAGTAAAAGTCTTACTTAAATCTTATTGCACACTTTGTCTGTGCAGAAAGAGACAGAGAACAGAAGGGCTGTACATATTGGCTTCTCTTTTCTGACTGTATGCGGAGTCTATGTATATTATGTCTATGGTCTCTTTCTACATGTTGGTTTCACTTTTCTGGCCGTATACGGGGTCCATGTATACTACATCCATGATCGAGACTAAGACGCATTGACGCATTCAGTCGAATCCACCATTAGTGTAAACACGCAACCAAGCAGAAAATTTCATATTAATTGATCTTCGAATCTCTTCATACACTTTTTCTATTTCAATATAATTTAATATATCTCTAGTGGAATATACGTATATTATGAGCGCGTTCGGAAAATACTACGGTTGTGCATCTGTTGTTTATCGCTTTTGATTAAGGTATTCCTTTAAGGATCAATAGTATATCTAAATATTCCAACAACAATAAGTGCTCACTTAATCGTTGTATTTCTTGAATGCATATGATAAAATCTTCCTTCGTTCTGTACGCATAGATGACTTAAAAATCTTATTTTGTCAATTTATATGTAATTGCGAAAATACGTAATGTGATACATATATATATATATATATATATATATATATATATATATATATATATATATAT